TCTGTAGGATTGACTAATGCCACAAACCAACAATCCCTACAGTCAAGACCAAAGGAATATAGCGGGTCCCTCGAAGAAAGAACACGTGAGATGGATAGCGAAGAAGGGAAGAGAAGGAGGGAGAAGGGGTAGAATTGATGACAAAGCCATCATCATCATTGGCATAGTAGCCAGCACCAGGTGTTCTCCTGCGTCCGTCATCAATACCCATGGAATGTCATACGAAGGCCACAAAAGCAAGACACGAAGCGAATGACAACAAGCAACAAGGCATTAGACAACGACCAATTGCACGAAGGGTGGATGACATGGGGGAGGCGGGTGGGCAGACAAGCAGCACAAGGCAACAAGGGAAGAGACATAGAGAGCCAAGTTGAAAAAGAAGAAAGCAAACAAATAAAACAATAAGAACTGATGTTGTACATGTCTGTGTTCAGCCACTCCTTCCCGGCTGGTTCATCACGAACCTAGGAAGCACCACCTGTCTCTTGGACCAGGATTCCAAGACTCCGATCACCATCCAAGCGCGACACGTACAAAAAAGTAAGAGTAGTGGAAGATGGAGGATTTCACGATTTTTAGCCCAACCAGTCCAATAAAAGAACTAAATGGTGACCCGGTGGAATGGGCGTGGAATCTCAGAGGAGGAAGGTTGAGAATTTCCAAAAGAGTCAGCATACTAAAGTACACTACGCGAATTGGTTATCGACTGAGAAGGCGGCACCACTCTCTGAAGAAGGTGCTCACGAAGCGGTGGGAGAACAGAGTGGGGTTCTCCCCGGAGCAATTACCAACAATACCATGGACAACGGTCAATAGGATCAGACTTGGCCGGGTCAGAAGCTTGCAGTGGCCAATTGCCCACATAGCCTTGCCAGTAAACGCTTGGCTAAACGAAAAAAGAAGCCGAGCAAGAAGGGACCCCTCCAATGCCTTGTGTTCAGTTTGCCAGCAGGGTTCAGTGAAAACAATGGAGCATGGCCTGCTGACATGCCCAAAGGCAGAGAGCCTATGGGAAATAGCCAGAACCCTCTGGAGCAGATGATGCAGAAGCCTTTCCCGCAAGAAAAAGAGACCCTGCTTTTGGGACACAACTGCCCCAGAGATTCGCAAGCTTTCGTGAAGCAACTATTTCATCTCATAAGACAGTACACAGTATGGACAATTTGGAAAAGACGCTGTCAGGTTACAATAGGGAAGCGACCGATGCATGAACAGGAAGCAAGGGAGATCCTCCTAAACCTAATGGAGACAGAGATTTGGGCACAGTGGAAAAGACCACAGTGGCAGATGAGGCAGCAACCGGACCAAGCGCAGGACCTGAAAGACAGGAACCCTAGGGAATGGTAAAGTAGCAACTATCCCGGCTACAGGCCTCGTTTTTTCGTGGAGACAGAGAGGGTGAGAAGGCCATAGCAAAGGGAATGAGGTTAGCAACAGTAGGGTTTAGGGTTTAAGGCAAGGACCAGGAAGAAAGAATGAGGCAAGGAGAAGTTAGACAGAGGAGGACCTAGGGGCGTTTAGAAGGGTAAATGGGGACCTAGATAGAGCTTTTTCCTTTATTACTATTTGTTGGTTGTTAATCCAGTTTCCTTTTTTCAGGAATAGCATGTGAACCATAGTTGCGGCGCACCTCGGTGCGCGGATTTGCGCACGAATTGCGCGCCGCACGCAGGGCACCGCACAGCGCACTGGAAAAATTAGGTCCACCAAAAAAAAAAAAGAGAGTAGGGGTTTGAAGGGTTTCGTAATTTCTTAGGGCCCACAACTCGGCAAAAATGTTAAACTCACCGTGCAAGCTCGGAAACCGGCCGCACCCCCAGCTCAAAATTTTCTTTTGGGTAAGGGCTGCCAAATTTCGATTTCGGCAGGCCCTTCCCCCAAAAGTTTCAGAATGGCGAAGCATAAAATACTTAAAAAATAGGGCTCATTCCATCTTTTTTTTTAGGCGGGGTATGAAAGATGTTCTTCCCGCTCCCTTCTACAAATCCCACACAGTGGTGGGGTAAGTTCGCAAGAAGGGGTAGTCGCCTGATAACGACCTGCCCCGCGAAGCTTCGCAGAGATCACAAGTTGCGTTTTCTATGGCCAGCCGACCACCAATATATGCTGAACATTGGCGTTCAGGTCTGCATGTCGGCAGATATGGGTTAGGATGAAGATGCCCATGGCTCTCTCGTTTTCTTGTTTTTGTTTTCTTACGAATACGTCCAGTGGGGCCTGCTCCGCTACTCACCAAATGCACAAAAGACATAGCATATGGCGGTGTATGGTTCCATGTTTTAGCAGAAGATTCATTCTACTAATATTATATACATTTGGTGAGTACATAGCATATGGCGGTGTATGGTTCCATGTTTTAGCAGAAGATTCATTCTACTAATATTATATACATTTGGTGAGTGGTGGAGGGAGGCCCTGAAAATCACGTGGAGACACGAACAGGGTCTAGCTGAACTGGTGACCCATAACTGCCGAGCTACAGCCCTGAACTCGAATCCACAGCATATATTGGTGGTCTGCCCCCATGTCTTTCATGCATGACGAGGCCATCCTTCTCATTGAAGCAGCGGCCCTCAATGGCTCCACATGCGTTGTAGGAGCCACTCAAGGTACCTGCAGGGGCCCTCGAACTGACATAAAGGGGACCCTTTGTTGTCGTTCTCTCTCTCTCTCTCTCTCTCTCTCTCTCTCTCTCTCTCTCTCTCTCTCTCTCTCTCTCTCTCTCTCTCTCTCTCTCAGGGCCTGTTTTTTTTTTTTTTTTTTGCACACATAGAGCACCTCCCTCAGCGCGCGCACCACACTGCGCACGGCGCACAGTGCGCACACTGTCATNTCTCTCTCTCTCTCTCTCTCTCTCTCTCTCTCTCTCTCTCTCTCTCTCTCTCAGGGCCTGTCTTTTTTTTTTTTTTTTGCACACATAGAGCACCTCCCTCAGCGCGCGCACCACACTGCGCACGGCGCACAGTGCGCACACTGTCATTCCAGCGCACAGCACAGTGCGCACCGGTGCACCGCAACTATGATGTGAACAGATAGAAGGTAGGAACACAGGAACCACCCCGCAATACTAGCCTAATCTGGGTAATGGCCACAGTCATCCGGGTTGAGATGTGGAGGGATTCCCGGCCTCCTTTTGCTCTTTATATAATGAAACATGCTATTTGTTTAACTGATGATGACAGAATGTTTCGTCGGAGTTGCACCGACTCATCAGGAGGCTGAACCCTCGACAATCTGCAGAATCTCCGTATTTGATGGTTTGGGTCATGAACCCTTTGACCCTTGTTGAAGGCAGACTGTGCTCATGCGGAACATAACAGTGGGCAGCAACCCTGTGCAGCACCTGGCAACACAGTAGAGGCAACAGGGCTGCACAACGCCAAAAACAACTGCAAGGAACGACATGGCACGTGGGACATGCAGCGCGGTAACCGTGTAGTGAAGCACAAGACAACACAAACAGGGCAACCGCACTGCAATGGACGACAGGGCGAGCGGGCCAGCAGCTCGGCAACCGTGGAGCAAAGCACAAGGCATCAGCAACAAGGCAACCATCCAGCAAGGCCCGCAAGCAGCAAACATGGAAGGCACGACCAGCAGCAGGGCAGCAAGGCAGCGGAGCAGCGAAGCGCAAGGCAACACTAACCACACGGCCACACCACACAGCAAACACATCAACCTGCAAAGAACCACATGCGAAGCAAGCGGGACAGGCAGCAGGGCAGCGGCGGAGCGCAGACGAGGCCGTCCACACATCCAACACGGAGCAAAACAGCACATGACCTACTCACATCACGACGCACCCCGCAGACTGTTGGTTCCCACCACCCACTGAGCCAGGGAGACACTCCGACGAGCATCCGCCATCACCCACAGACAAAACAGACATCCCGAACTGAGCGGCCCCCCTAAGAGTGCAGTTGGCACTCCAAACGAGGAACCACCCACTGTTTGGCACTACTTAAGGGTGCTCAGTTGGGCACACAGAAAAATACTTAGAAAAAATCAGAGGGAGGAATAGACAGACATAAAACTGATTGCGTGTGTGTGTGTCGCATGCCTACAAGGCAAAGATCAGAACCAAGAACCGACCCAAAGAGATAGAGCAAAGATAGCATAGCGGAAGACCGATATACCACAATCTGCCTCAAAATGACGCAGACTGACTGCAACACACTCATCAAACACACAGACGAAGTGCGCCAGGCCAGCAAACATCCATAGATGAAGAGGAGGGGGAAGAGACGAAGGAGGAGGAGGAATGGAGATGTCATCAACTCAAATGTCACTCATCAGTCTCCAAAATAGTATCCCCAGTGCCTCTGTCCAATGTCGGTCTGTAGTCCAATGCAACCCAGTCTCAACACTCAACTCTCTCTCTCTCTCTCTCTCTCTCTCTCTCTCTCTCTCTCTCTCTCTCTCTCTCTCCCTCTCTCTCTCTCTCTCTCTCTC